ATATATAATTGGCGGCTTTAAGTAATTGACTGATTATAAAAGTAAGAAAGATATATAGTTAGTTAAAATTTTAATTAAAAAAATAGATTGAAAATATTTTAAATTCTATTTTAATGAATTTTTTTAATATGCATAGTATCATTTAAATATTGCTCCCATCCTTAATATCTTACGTCCACGTGACAAGAGATGCTAAAACGGTTCGTTGTTCGCAAATAGCTCGTATTCGGCTTGCTAAACAAATAAATAAAATATAAACAATAATCTTATACTCGATATATTAACGAGCCAAACATGAACAATAATATTTTTAGGAAATAGAATATGCACACGAATGTTTTTGTAAGAAGGTAAACACAAGACATTGGTAACTTGTACGGAAAAACTATTGGGTGGCATCACATGGCGGGTCTAATGGTGGAAAAATTTTGTTGCTTGGCTGTTTATTTTCATATATAATGAATTAAATATTGGAGTTATTGAATTTAATAGAGTTTTTTTTTTTTTTTTGAAGCTATAGATATGTAATAATTTATTGAGGAATTTAAAATCTCATCAATTTACAAATTAAAATAAGATGTGAAAGAACTCTCGGCTATGAGTGTAAAAGAACTGAACACAAAGGAACAGAGCTAGTGTTTGTGTTTGATTCGTTTGAAATTTAGTTTGTTTGAAATAGACTGGTGTTCGAAATTGTTCATGTTCGTTTCGATTTGTTCGAAATTAGTTCGAATTGTTCGAAATGTTCGAATTATTTGGGTTATTTTAATTGCTCGAAATGCTCGAATCGTTCGAATTGTTTGAATTGCTCCAAATTGTTCAAAATTATTTGAAATTATTTAAAATGTTATAAAACAAAAGTATTATAAATGTAAAAATAAAATTTTAGATGTTAGAAATGTAAATGCATAAAAAGTGTGTGGTAAGTATATAAATTTCACAACATGGAATCAGGAAACCATCCCATAGGCCATGGCAGCGAGATCACGACAATGAATGTTAAAACAAAAATGTACAAATAATAAATTTTCTCATTATAATTACAAAACAAATATAACAGCAAAGACACATGCTAATAGGAAGCAGGACCAACAAATGAAAATTGTCAGCTTCACTCATTAATAAAGCAGATACAATCATACAAACTCTAATCAGCTAAAACATAATTGTAATCAGCTAGTTACATGGCAGAGAGCGCTGTGATAGCCTTTTCGAGCATAAGTTTTGATTTTCCATTCTTGTGGCGATGAACTTACGAAAACAGTGCTGGAGCTGCCCTGCACTCTTATATCTCCTCTTGCAAAACACAGTAATTTCATATGGTTTCTGTCAAATGTGTTCCTTCACAAATTTTATAAGGATGACCTACACAAAATATACAGACTTATTATATCATATGAAAAGAGATATTTGAATAGAAGATTCAAAGTTAAATCAATAAAAAAAGAAAATTTACATGCATACACCTCAATTCTAATGTATTAACACATCTAACACCCACACTTCAATTTATTCATGACATGTGCATGAAGAAGTGTGATGAGAAAGATTTGGGTACTTGGTATAAATGTAAAAAAGTTGGTTTCTGTCAAATGTGTTCCTTCACAAATTTTATAAGGATGACCTACACAAAATATACAGACTTATTATATCATATGAAAAGAGATATTTGAATAGAAGATTCAAAGTTAAATCAATAAAAAAAGAAAATTTACATGCATACACCTCAATTCTAATGTATTAACACATCTAACACCCACACTTCAATTTATTCATGACATGTGCATGAAGAAGTGTGATGAGAAAGATTTGGGTACTTGGTATAAATGTAAAAAAAGTTAAGTTTTGCTGTTGAATATGTAAATACATAGGAATTAGGTGGTATGTAAGGTACTTGTTATAAATGTAAAATGTTAACTTGATTCAGTCCCAGCCCCAGGTTATCATTTAGAGAAATGAGAGTCGAGCCAATCTTACCATAAAGGGAACTTTGATAATGTTGCTTTGAGTAATATGTTTGACAAAACAACAACTGCCTTCTTCGCTTGAAAATTTAAGCTCCAATATCTTCTTAACTGTGGCTTGAGAATATCTCAAACTCATTTTTTCTTCTGATTTTGCATGACTGCATCTCACCAGATTCTTCCTTGCAAATTCTGCTACATCCAGCCCCAGCATCATCTGAAAATTTTATCAACCACCTCAGTTTTTAAAATATTTTTTTCTTTTATAATCTTAAATAGGGTTGTGGCGATGAACTTACGAAAAAAGGGCTGGAGTTGCCCTGCACTTTTATATGTCCTCATGCATCGCAGGTATCAGACCTCTTGTTTGATTCACGGCAAATTGGTTTTTGGGAGGAGATGGCAGCAAAGTTTTCTTCAGCATCTTCATCTTCTACAAATAGATTTGAAGAGCACAAAAGGCTTAATTTATATGTAAAATCAGTGGTTACTAAGTGTAGTTATTCCTCTGAATAATGAAATATTTCTACCATCTATTGCGGGGCTGCCCTCTATTGCGGAGCTGCCCTTGCTTTCTTCTGTTAGCTGATTCACCACAACCTTGCTTAGTTGTTCCAGCTTCAGCGGAGCTTGCAGTTTACCTGCAGAATCAATGACCAATTTTTAGCTTCTTAGAAAGGCCATTTAAGTTTAAGAGCCAAAGCGAAGCTTAATATTGTTAAACCAAAGAATATGATTTAAATTATTACGAAAGACAAAAAAATAATTTAAAATTTCAAAACAATTTGCAAAAATTTCTACTCACTAATATAAAAATTAAATATGATATATTTCATCAAGAAATATAAATTCCCTTTAATAGAAAATATTATGAAGATAAATAGAATCAATGTAAAATACAAAAATGAGTGACACAGACAGCCAACAAAGCTTCACTCTTGAGTTATATTAGAAATTCAATATAAATTTGTTGAATTTCAAATACCTCAAGCAAAGATAGATGAAAAATAATATGCATAATATACCACATATACCAATGTGATAACTTGAAGCTACTCACCCAAGTAAGCTCTTTCAAAGCTTCTACTTCTCTCATAGTAAAAAAGGCTAGTTGCATGTATAGATGGATGAAAAGTAACATGAGTTTAATTTTCATAAAGTTTTCAGAAATATTATTTATACTTAATACTTCACTGTCAAACTTCAATATGCATCAGCCCTTTCCTTCACCATAATTAAAAGCATAAATGTACTTAATACTTCCCTGCTAAACTTCAACCAAAGCTTATTTTGCCCTTCCTGCACCAAATCAAAGCAATCAGCCAAAGCCTGCTTTATCTTTAAATAAATAATATTTTTTTCAGAGTAATTCAAAGCAATCAGCAATCAGCAATCAGCCAAAGCCTTAATCAGATTATCCACTAGAAACGAAACCACCATAAACTAGTATCAGCCAAAGCCTAATCCTTGCAACCCAACCGAACCAAAACCAGGGAGGGATGAGAGGGAAACAACCCTCTCACCAATTTTGGGAGTTGTTGCGCCTCTCCCAAGTCCCTAACATGACTTCCCTAGATATTGTAATAGCCAAAAAAAAACCCAAGCTTGGTAGAGAAATAAATATATTATTTATCCCCTCAGTAACTGATTCGACAACAGCTTGCCTGTCATGATAAGCTGCAGAAGCATCTCCAGCTTCATCTAAGTCCAAGTTCTTTTTATCTACCGTAGCAAGTGCTGCCTGCAAACTATTCTTTCTATTCAATTTAACATATAAGTGCAACTTTCAGTTTTAAGGAATGATAAGCCATTTCTTGCATAAATGATAACCAGATAACTTTGTGCTTCCTCTTAAAAACTAAACAAATAAAACAAAAAAAAAGAAAAGAAAAATTTAGGATTGAGAGTTCTATGCTCTATAAATGAAGAGATCAGGTCAAGGAAAATCAATACTTTGCCTTAAAAACTTCTATTAAGACTAGAATTTAGCCAAATAAACATGAAGAAATAAGGAAAAAAACTCTCTTTTGTCCGACAACACCTCTGCTAGAAAAATAAGAGAAGGAAAAGTAATCAAAAACATTTGTTTGTCAGCTCAAAACTCAAACAAAACTAATATAAACCTCAAGAAAGCCTTAAAAACCAAAAAACAACAGAATTATCCTCCGCCAGTATGACTGAAATTCACAACACGAAGGAACTTAATTTTCTGAAAAAAAAACTCTCACCTTTAGAACTCAATGATTCCTCTTCCCAGCTCAGATCTCCTGATTTAGCAAAACAAAAATAGAGATAATAAAAGACTCAGAATTGTAGTCTCAGAAAGAAATCTGACCCCCTTTTGAAACCAACCCCCTTATTCTCAATCTGGAGAGGCAAGGCAGGTGAGGAATTAACTATTTAAGATTTAGAGATCCTCCCCATAGGGACCTCTATTTCATTAGATTAATATTTTAGTGGGCTTCTCAAGCACATTAAACAAATCTCAATCCTTCGGCTAATGCTCAGCTCAGGCATAAAGAGAAAGATAGGAAAATTGGACTCTTAGATATTTAAAAGTACCATAATAAATATCTTCATAACAATCATTATTCTCCAAAACAACGCAAATCAAACTCTTAAATATTTGAACTGTGAAAGAAAGATAGAAAAATAGAACTCTAAACATTTTGCTTTGCTTCTTCAACTTCAAAAAAATCAAAACATAACTCATACTTAGAGGCACCCTCAATTCTATCTAATCACATTACTTGTTTAGAGTGAAAAATATCCCTTAAAGCCATGAAGTGCAAAAATTTTCATATGGCTATGGTAACTTATTTTTGTCAATACAGTCATTAAAATGTAACTTTTAGTTGGCAATACAGTCATTAAAATTCTATGTCAAGGATATTTCCAAATGATCTAAGAAAGACTCATTAAAATTATAAAAAAGAAATTTGCTTCAACTGCAAGTGTCACATAAGTTGCAAATAAAGTCTTTGATCGTTCACCCACAAATAAATGCAACTTCTTGCCAACATATCACTCTTCTTGCCAAAACTTCATAAACATAACAATGTATAGTAAGAAATATTACTCTCATTTTTAAGAATGAAGTAAGAAATTTTTTTTTTGTACAGGTTCAAGTCTTCTAGAAGCAATAATCAAATCACAGCAAAAAGGTTGAAAACTGTTTGAAAGTAATGCTTAAGCCTGTATGCATCACAACACAAGTACATAATAGCCCAATGCCCCAAGTAGAGCTCGTTGCTCACAAAAAAAAAACAGATCTGTAGTCAATATGAAAATAAACATCTTCACTCTCAAAAACGTCAAAACCTAGGCTTCACTCAAAAAAATTAAATAAACCTAAAAAAATTTCTGAAAATTTAAGCTAAGAGGCAAAGCTGAAGATAAATATGAAATATTAAAGAAAATATGCTAAAAGAAGACGCCTCGATAGGCTTACAAGCAACCAAGCACCGAAGCAAGAATTCTGAGTGGTCGATCCAACGCCGAATAGAAGTAGAGATTAGAGAACGAACACAAACAATCAAACCTAAACTCTCACTGAGAGAATGCTTTTTCGCGATTTTCAGACAAGAAGAAGGAGAGTTCTCGTCGAGAGAAGCTTTTCGCAATTTTGAGAGAATAAGAGGGGTTCTCGTAGTCACCGAGATGAAGCTTTTCACGATTTTGATACAATGAGCGGCCGAAACTAGAGCTTTCTAGAGGAGAAAGAGCGGCGTGCTTTCAAGGAGAAATATTTGCGTACTGAAACTGTACACAGAGTTGCGTACATTTTAGGTTATTCGAAGTGTACAACTAGGTTACACTTAGGTTACAGGAAGAATTACAAGGGAGTATAACTTAAGTGTAACCTAGTTATACCCTCCTAATAACCTAAAATGTACACAACTCTGTGTACGCTTTTCGTACGTAAATATTTCTCGCTTTTAAGAGAGGAAAGGGCACACGGGGTTAGGGCTTCCACATTCGAGTAATAAGGTTTTTACAAATTGTTTGTATATATTAACATATATAAATATTATATATAATAAATTACATTAATTATATACCTTATATTATATAAATATATAAAATTATTTATAATTTATTGTACATTATAATTTACGGGATTTAATATTTAAAATATGACAAATTTTTTGAGTTTATAATTATTCTTAAAACATCATAAATTATATATATATATACATATATACATATTAAATTTTTTTATATTTCGAACAATAACAACTTGAACACAAACGAACGTATCACTGTTCATATTTGGTTCGTTTAACAAACCGAATGAAAAAAATTATTCGTGTTCGTCCCGTTTGCTTACTGAACGAATCGTTCGATTGTTTGCTTATTTAATGAATCGAACACAAACTCTCTGGCGAAACGAACAGGAACTATTCGCGAACAATGAGCTTTTTCCGACAACCCTACTCACGGCCAACTAGTAAGAAGAAAAAAATATCTACTTTTTTCTGATTGTAAATTTGAATCACATAATGTATTACTTAACGTTCAATATTAGAAAAAGTTTTGCAGACATATTGCTGATTTCTATTATTTTTTGACTTCTTTTATTTGCAACTCGTAGCTAGATTCTCAATGCAAAAGAAAATCAATTGGCAAAATTAGTTTAGAGCATATTTGGGATATTTTAATTTTTTAAAGTTATTTAATAGTTTAGTGTATTTTACCGTATTTTTAAATAAATTATTATTATTATAAATAATTTTAAATTTTATGATTTTTTTAAGAAATAATTATATTTTATTTTCAAATATTAAATATATTTCATTTCAAATAAATCATAAACATAGTGATTCCAAAGAGGCCCTTAAAATGAATTATTCAATTCTATTGCAATTACATTTTATTTTAAATTAGGAGATATGTTTTATTTCAAATCAAGCATTGACCTATTTACATAAAAATAAAAAAATAAAAGAAGTGATGGGATATAAATAAACCAACGCACTCGATGAACTATTTAACTCGTCTCGATAAAGATTCAATCAAGTTAGTTTAAATTAGTAAATAAAAAGTTTGATTATTTTTTTAAAACTAGAAACTTAAATGAACTGAATACGACAATAATCAAACTTAGTTATTTATGTTCACCGAAAAACTCGTTTATTGTTCAACAAGAAACTTGTTAAATACTCGATATTATGCTCGATGATAGCTCATACCACATATAAGATATTTTTAAAATGTAATTTAATAAGATAGAATTTATTTAATTATACATTTAATAGAAATATATTATTACACCAATATTTTTTTATTAATTTTTAGTTTTATATTTATTTGGTTAATATACATTTATTAATTAGTCTATTTTACTAATTACTACATCATTATCACCAGATTCAAACATTCAAACTTTCATTAATAATTTGTCAATCATAGTATAAATACATAATAA